TGACACTCCCTCCTTTTCAACCTCCACCTTCATCCAAGCCAGTCCTACTTCCTCCATCTCTGGTCACTCTGTCCATTTCTCTCCTCCTCATTGTACCATGCGAATTGAGGATTTCGCCACGTCTTGCCATGCTTTCTGCAAATGTCCCCTAGTTGACTTCTGCTACAAGTCTTGTCCACATCTAATCCACTCTCCACACTGAGGTCCACATGATATTTCTAAAATGCACATCTGATTGTGCCACTCTCTTGCTTTGATTCTTAAAAGACTTCTTCTAGGCTTCAGGAGCACAAAAGCTCCTTTCAGATAGGACCACTCCCTTCCATTCTTCCTACAGTACTAAAGACTCTAACCATACCAAAATATTTGAGTTTTCAGAAAATATCATGCCCTCCCTTGATTCCCGGCCTTTGCACAGGCTGTTTCCATTGCAGATTCCCCTATCCCCATCCCACTCTTCTCTCGCCAATTCCTACTCATCCTTCAGGACTTGCTCAGCTATCACTGCCTCGAAAGCTTCTTCCTGTTCTTACTGCAGTCACAATACCCCAAAGAATCACATCACTTCCCCTGAGAATTTCTTATTTAGCCATCTATCTCCCCCACTAATAACAAGCTCCCTCTGCTACATGATAAGTATTCCATAGATGCGTTGAATAATTTAACCCAGTTGATAGATCATATTATTTATTCCCAATGATTTGTTTCCTCTCCATCCTTGCATTTGTCCCTGTAGGCAGAGTATACTTACCACCCCATAGACTATAAACTTGACCACATGACTTGCTTTGGTCAATGGATTGTAAGCAGATGTGCCATAGATATGGCCAAGCAGAAGCTTTAAAGACATTTGTGTGGTTTAGCTCTGCCCTTGCCCTGACCCCCTTGAGCATTTGCCCTCCACTGTGAGAAAAAAATGCTCAGATAGTGGCTGCCCCTTCATCTTGGGTCTTGGAGTAAGAAGACAATTGGAATTAAGCCAAATCCACCAAACCTAGCCAATCCATAGCTACCTACAGCTGACTGCAGCTCTCATATAATATGAGCAAGAACAAAGTGTATGCTGTGAGCTACTGAGATTTGGGGGCTGCTTGTTGCTGCATCAAAATACTGGCAAATACATCTAGTTTGGGCTCAAAATAAGTATTGAGGGCCTACTATTGTGCTAGAAGTTTTACACAATTTCATTTTAATTATCACAACAACCCTATGGGGTAGGTTTGCTTTCCATTTTAAAGCCAAAAAAAAAAAAAAAGATAAAATCCTAAGCTGGCATTCAAATCCAGGTTAGTTGGAGCCTCCCCACCCTCCCCACACTGCCTCCTGGTGATCCAAGGGCATGGAAACAGTGATGATAGTGATTATACAGAGCGTCAGCTGAAAGTGAGGGCCCTACTCCTAATTCAGCACCACTTTCTGTAGGGTTCCACACGCTGAAGGAGAACAGAGAAAGCAGCAGGTTTTTCTGAGTTCTTCCTTGTTCCTTGGCCTGTAAAGAACTGTAGTCATCCAAAACACCTTCTTTCATTTTCTGAGAGCCAAAAACTATCTTGAAGACTGAGACTTTGAGCATGCATATGCTGTAGCTACATCCTGTGTGGCTCCTGAGAGCACAGCAGCAGCCCCTAGTACCAGATGGGCTCTGATGTGCCATCAGCTTCTGCTCTGTCACTGGGGCACATCCTCTGCTCTCGTGTGCCTTGCTGGAGTACTCTTCATTCACTCCTTTCCCACTAGATCTGAGGATTTCATTATGAAAAACTAACTGCCATTCTTACTCACTTTTCTATGAACTCCACGCTTTTCTATGAACGCTCAATGTCCAATGCCCCATAATAGACACCATGTATGTTCACCTAAATCAGAAGTTATAGTTTGATCTACCTTAACCAGAAAAGAATGTTTTCCTGAATTCAAGTACTTAAAACAACCAACTCATATTAAGGCAGTGACATTATTTCTTATTCTTTTAACCAGTATGATATCACGGGCTTGGACAAATCATTTATTTCCTCTGAGCCTTGGTCTTCTTAAGTATAGGTAGGTAATACCAACCTTACTTACTTAGCAAGATCAAATGGGATGATGTATGTGAAAGACATTTAACACATAGAAAAGCATCATAGCATTTAAATAAGTGAGAACAACAACAACAACATCACACATTTCTTTATACTCCTGACTGGGAAAAAGAAGGCATAAGAGTTAAAATAGTTGGAAGGGGTGAAGAGGTGAAAGAGTCCTAGAACAAAAATTTGGGACTAGAAGGGACATTCTAGGACCAGGTAGGTTGGAGCAAGATTCATCCTATATGGTCCAAAGTACTTGACTCACATTACCACTTCCCAATATCAGCACATTTAATTGTTCAGAATAGAACCTATCCTGTCCAGCAAGTACTGGATTCTACACCATTTGTTCTTCTGAAAATTCTAGCAAGAGCTCTTCCTTTCTAGCTGGTGTTTTTCATTCTAATCATTAATGGTCTGGGAAAGTATGAAAAAAAGGAACTGGGTCTCCCTGATGGCTCCTCCTGTGTGAATTATAAAAGGAATAGCGTACCTGTCACTCTAGCTTTCATTTACAACTTATCAAATTTTAAGGGGGAAAATTTCAGAACCCTAGATTCTTAGAGCTGAACTTGCTCAATATTTAAGACTAAGATCCAAACCCATGGTTATATGGAGGTGCTAGGACTAGAACCTAAACCCCAGCTCCCAGGTCAAGGCTCTTTCCACTAACTGTGTCCTGGTACTAATACTACGCACACTGGACTAAGCACTAGGTACTTGCACTAAGACCACTCATACTGATACTCAAGTCCATATAAACTAGCCACCTAGAAGACTCATATGTGTAAAACATAAGGAGTGATGAGGATACTGAAACAACTTCCCTCTCCTAGTCCAGAGAGAAGCATCCAGGCTAGGGGATGAGTTGGGAGAGCTGTGCTAAAGTGACGAAAGAAGATGAACAAGGTAAGTTCCACATAGAAAAGTAGAACAGAGGAGGAAGAGAAATTGGAAGGTATGGAGGACAGGAAAGGAGATAACAAAAGCTGAGGTGTCAGCAGTCTCTAAAAGTGATTCTTCTTTCTCCAGGGCTAATAACATTTTAACTCTCTAAATCCAAGCCTATTCTTCACAGTCACCAGGTGTCCACCTGACAATGAAACCAGACCAAGTAATGATCACTCCCTGATACCTCCCTTCCCACTGCAGGGAAGCGGCTGGGGCGGATTCAAGGCACTCCATCGTGCACATCTTTATCATTGCTTTTGCACAATGCTACTCCATAACTGGTGTCTCCACCACCAGACTGAGTGCCTTAAAGGCAAGAGCTGTGACTTACTCATCTTATTAACCCCAGCACAATGTCTGGGACACAGGAGTAACTCACTCACTGACTATTCATGAACAAATGTCTTAGCTATCACCTTTTCTGGGAATTTGTTTCAGAGCTGCTGCACCACTCCTGGTTCAGATTGTGTGTGCTTCCTCCATGCTCTCACAGCAGGGGTGTGGCTCTCATCAAAGGACCTTCAACCTCCCTAACAAAATGACTGGAAAACTTGGTTTTTGGTTTTTGTTTTGAGACAGGGTCTCACTCTGTCACCAAGGCTGGAGTACAGTGGCACAGTCTCAGCTCACTGCAGCCTCTATTTCCTGGGCTCAAGCAGTCCTCCCACTCAGCTCCCTGGGTAACTGGGACTACAGGCACAAGCCACCGTTCCTGGTTAATTTTTTTTGTATTTTTTTTTTGGTAGAGATGAGGTTTCACCAGGCTGGTCTTAAACTCCTGGGCTCAAGAGGTCCACCTGCTTCAGCTTCCCAAAGTGCTGGGATCACAGGCATGAACAACTGCAACTGGCTGAAAACTTATTGGAATCACTGACTAGATTGACAACACTTTGAGGACAAGGACGATGTCTTTTAGTGCCTTATTCTCAGCACTTATTATAATACTTAGAAATCACAAGAATTTAATATGTGCTTGTAGAATAGACAAATAAGTGAAACCAAAAGAAATGCTAATCCAGGGCCAGGCATGGTGGCTCACACTTGTAATCCCAGTACTTCAGAAGGCCAAAGTGGGCATATCACCTGGGGTTGGGAGTTTGAGACCTACTTGGCCAACATGGTAACCCCGATCTCTACTAAAAATACAAAAATTAGCTGGGTGTAGTGACGCATGCCTGTATTTCCAGCTACTTGGGAGGCTGAGGCACAAGAATTGCTCGAACCTGAAAGGCAGAGGTTGCAGTGAGCTGAGATGGTGCCACTGCACTCTGGCTTGGGTGTCTCAAAAAAAAAAAGAAAAGGAAAAAAAAGAAATGCGAATCCATCACACACAATCCTTATCACAGAGATAGCAAAGGAGCCTCCAGGAAAACATATCACTTGCTCCGGGAGTGGGTTCCCAGAGTGTCGACACAGCTCCAGCGTTTCTCACAGCCTCTGCTGCCAAAAAAGGATGAAACACCACCCATATTCAGGAACAAAGACAGAGTGAACCCTCCTTCAAGTCTTATTGCTAGATGGCACCTGTTGCTAAAATAGCAGCTGGTAAGCATTTTGTTTTTTTCAAAACAACAACAACAGCAACAATAACAAAACCAATATATTATGGGAAGCAACATCACAATGGCAATAAGAAACCATGAGGCTAAATATATAACAGGAAGAAATACGGAATTTTAGTAATAAAAGACAAGGAAGGAGCTGCTAGAGGCTGGAGGAAAAATATACTGAAGTGTTGATTAGAAATTGCTCAGCCTGTATTAAAAAAGAGAAACAGGAGGAGAGGGGAGGGGAGGAAAAATAGAGAGGGAGGGGAGAGAGACGGTGGGGAGAGAAAGGGAGGGAGAAGGAGAATAAATGTGGATTTTTTTTTTCCTGGTTCTCTGTCTCATTTTTTAATCTGTCCTTCCCTGTCTCCCTTCCTTTCTACCACCCCCTCAAGAGAGAATTCATTGATTGGGCTGGACTAAAATTTCTCACCTTTCCTCTCATGGTTCTCTGTGAAGAATGAGTCTGAATTCATCTCCTCCTTGTCTGCTTCTGTCTCCTCCCTCCCCTCCCCAGCCGCCATTGTTTGCTCCTCTACTTGCTCAGGCTGAGAGGCAGCTTGTCTGTCCACACCTCTGACAGCAGTGACAGGATGAGGGGAAAGCAGGAGCTGGGAGCAGAGGATGATCAATGGGATCCCAGGAGTCCGTCTCCCTTTCAGAGCAAAGAATCCCCAGCCATCTGACAGCTGAGCTGGCCCTGATAACTAACCTGTTGCCTGATTCCAAGCAGAACCAGGTGCAGGTGGCAGAAGGCACAGACAAAGCATCACTTCCCTCAAAACAAAAATAAAACACAAAGCCCTCCAGCAAAAAGCCCAGAGAGGCAGCTTGGGAGAGGGCGAATGAGACTGGCCTTGGGTTTGGGAGAACTGGGATCTAGTCCTTAATCAATCATGATCCTGCTATGTGCATACTGCCTCTCTAGGACTCCATCTCTATAAACTGAGATCGCTGAACTACAGTTCCTGTGGTCCCCTCCAGTGACATGATTCCATTTCATAAAAAGCTGTGAGCCATCTGAAGAGAGCTGTTTCCCTTCTTCTCTCACTCCCTGCAAACCCCCAGAGTACTTATTTTAGGCAGACCCCAGGGTGTCTATAAGAGCACCTCTAACTCAGGGACCCCTCCCCAGATGCCTGGCTGACTTCAGGGAGGTGGTGATACAGGCTCAAGGACTAAGTGTCCGAGAATAGAGGCAGGTTAAGGATGTGAAGAATCAGGGACGGTGGGAGTGGAAGGCGCTGGGAGGCCAGGGGAGCTGGGAGGCATGGATCAGCCAAACCCTGAAATTAGAGATGATTCATATTTGAATAGTGTGGGAGGGATGAACTCAAAGCAGCCAAAAGAAGAGGCTAACTCTGCTGAGGGTGCCTCCCCCAGCCTAAACCCAGCAGTAGGGCCAGGGCAATATTAGCGGCATTTCATTTGAAATGGGAAAAATATTTAAGCAATCAAGAATCTTATTCTGAAGCTAAGGGAAATGGGGTATTTGCCTTTTCTTGCTAAATGTATTTTAGCATGTATTTTCCATGATTTGTTTTAGCTATTTTAAGCTTGTTCCCCTTTGCCTAGTGCCTTGATTTCGTCCAGATCATCTGGTTGGTGACCCTAGAGGAGACAAACTTCTCATGTGGTGCTATTTTCCCTTTTCTCTCCTGCTTTCCACTCAATCCCGTCCTCACCCTTCTGACCCCCTGTTCCGTTTCTTCCATCATTCTGCCTCCACCTTGATTTGAATGGTTGCCTCTGACCCAGTCCAAGCTATCCAGACCTTTTTCACTCCCATCCCACTCCCTTCAGCTGCTTTGAGAATCTCTCCGGGCTGGCCACTCCAAGGCCTCATATTCCTTAACCACAAGGAATCAGAATCCACCTGTGGGGAAATGGGTTAAGAACAAGAGCATCTCCTGACCCCAGGAGAATGGGAAGAAAGTTCACCGAAAAGGAGGGAGGACACAGAAGACCCAGCTAGACCAGTGATTCTGGTGCTGGGGAGAAGTCCAATGCCTCTCAATCTCTCTGCAAATTATCTTTTAGGTAGCGGGGAGTGCACCTATTAGAAAGGCTTTTCTGCTTTCTAATTATCGTGTGGGACCACTCCCCAAGTGATACCAAGTGAGAGAGAGAAGGCCGTAAAGTCCACAACCTTCTCCTTCCCAACCTCCAGTTCCTTGCACCCTCCAGAGAGCCACAGAGAGAATGCCCCGGATCCCCCCCCCCCTTCTCTAGGGAAGAAATTAAGGAGACAGTCCTCCAGCCACCACCTCCAGAAAACCAGTTCACTTAATTCATCAGCTCCCTCTGAGCTTCTTTTATTCCAGCCAGGCTCTTCCCAGGACTCACAGCATTACAACTCAGGATAAGACCGAAAAACCGTTTCATGAAGGGGAAATGCACATTCGAAAGAACAACCTCAACGCCAATGAGTCAAACACCTGCATCTAGATGCGTCTCACTTGTCATTGGGCTTCTCCCCTGCCGCCCCCATCATACACACACACACATACACACACACACACACACACACACACAGCCCCCTCCCCCACTTTCCGCCAGACTGATAAGCAGCTTTAAACATGGTCAGTAAGGAGGAAAATGGGGGTGGGGTGAGAACAGAAGCACTACAGGCATATACAAAGTTCTTGGTTTCTGTAGAAAACGACTCTTACCTGTTAGACAGAAAAGAACAATCCACCTCAGCAAGACCCTGTCCATCTTCCCCAACTTCCCATCCGGATTACGGAGTGAGGAAAGTGGGAAACGGCTGGAACAGAAGGATCGCTGTCACCCCGCGGCAGCGCAGCGGCGGGCACCGGGCGTCCCTGGGCGCAGCGCCCGCCGGGCCGGGCGCGCAGGCGGGGCCGGGGACTGGATCTCGCTGCCGGCGGAGCGCGCGCTGCCGCGGGCTTCCGGGGTCCGCGCGGCGCTCGGCGGCGCCTCCGCACGCCCAGGCAGCGCGGCGCGGGGCGAGCGTCTCTCCGCCGCAGAGCCCGCCGCGCGGGGGAGCTCGGCCGCCGCGCCGCCTCCCGCGCCTCCGCCTCGCCGCCCCGCCGCCCGCTGCCCAGGCTGCCAAAGTTTCTCGGTCACGTGCCGGTCCCCGGCGCCCCGGAGGTCAGCGCGGAGTGACCGAGGCCACGCGGGGAGAGGGGGCCGCAGGGGGGCAGCCAGCGAGAGGCGCGGGAGAGGCCGCCCCGCGGGCCGCGCTGTGCGGGGAGCGACCATCGCGGCTTCTCCCAGGGACGCCCGCGCTCGGGAACCCGGGCGAGAAGGCGCGTTGGGGACTCGGAGCAAGGGGTGCCTGTGTCTGCGGGCCGCCAGAGCCAACCTGAATCGGGAGAGAGCGACAGCGGCGAGGGTGGGGGACGGCGGGGACTTGGCGTTAACTTCTTGCGGGACTTAACTAGCAGGTACTCTGGGCTAGACCGTTCGCTTCTGCGGTCCCCCTGCCCCTCCGTCTGGTTTCCTTTTTGACAGTGCAAGGAACCAGGCAGGAGGCTCTGCAGAATTGAAAAAGGTAGGCGGGAATCTCACGTCATTACTTTTTCCCGTTAAAATATGAGGTAGAATAAGGGCATTCAGCCCTTTAACAGAAAATATGTAAAACCAGAATGAGATAAATAATTATGACAGCTTAATTCCATCCAACGCTTTATAGTTTGCAGCACGCATCCACATGGATTAGGCCTAATTTTCAGACGGATTTGTCTTGGGTCTCAAAATTCATGTGCTGAGAGAGAACTGAGAAATGTATGATTTGCATAAGAAATATATGTGAAGCCTCTTCTAGGTGCTAAGAACCAAGGCTACAAAGTGGGATGAGATAGACTTCCTGTCCTTAGGAGTCTCATCTTAGGTCCAGGAAAGGGAGGAAGGTCAGCCCATTGAAGACATGATACTTATTGGTAGGAAAACGGGGCAACTGCAATAATGGAGACAGAGAAAGTGCCCTGGAAACATAGAGGAAGGAGTTAGTCCTGGGTGGGGAGGGGGCACCACGATAAAGTAGAGGTAACATCTAAGTTGGCATTTGCAGAAAGGGCAAGATATGCGCCATTCAAGGGTCCCTGGTGGAAAGGGAGCAGGCGGGGGCATTCTGGGCAAAGAGACAAAGCAGAAAGGTCTCAAGTGGCATCTGAAAACAGAGTAATGCCAGGCTGGAGGGTAGTTCCTGGAACAGACAAGACTACACCTAAGAGTGAATGTGTATGCAGGCAGGGAGGATATGTGAACATGTGAGAAATGGTAAGAGTAGACCCTGGACAGCCGTCTTTTATGGCTGCTTGACATTTGAATTCCCTTCTTATTTTGAGGAATTCCAACTGCAGAAGCCAGAAAGTCTAGAGCCACCCCCCTGACTATCCCAGCTGGAGTGCCGACCTGGGCCGCTGGCATGGCCAGGCTGACCTCTCCCTCAGAGCTTTTTTATTCTGGAGCAAGTGGTGGACATAGGGAAGAAGGACAGTGGAGAAGTGATTTTGTCACCGAGGCAGCAGCAGCATCCAGTATACACAGTCAGCTGTGGCAGAGGTTAAGCCACCAGGATGCTCCAAGGTGTGATTTTGACTGTGGTCTGGTAGGCTCTCTGGGTTCCAGCCTCTCTTCTACACTTGGCTCTTTGCTTTCCTGGCAGTTCTTTGAACGGCCCAATATCCTTTCATAAACTCTTTATTTATTTTGGATGATTTTTCATGCTATGTACTGCATGAGAGAAATCTGAGGACCATTTCCTTTCATATATAGAAGAATAAAAACATAGGAGGCACCTAACATTTGTGGGTTTCCTATTAGGTTCTAGGCAAAGATCCACATGTTTTACAAGCCTTCTCATATAACCCTAAAGAGAGAACTTAGGCCCAGAGCATTTAATTTCTCTAAGATCAGGTAGCTAGTAAGTGGCAGAGCTAGGATTTGAATCTGACTCTAAAGCATATACGTTTTGCACCATAAAAAGAACACATGGTGCATGGGCCGGGTGCGGTGGCTCACGCCTGTAATCCCAGCACTTTGGGAGGCCAGGAGATCAGGAGTTCAAGACCAGCCTGGCCAACATGGTGAAACCCTTTCTCTACTAAAAACACAAAAATTAGCTGGGTGTGGTGGCATGCACCTGTAATCCCAGCTACTCAGGAGGCTGAGGCAGGAGAATCACTTGAATCCAGGAGGTGGAGGTTGCAGTGAGCTGAGATTGTGCTACTACACTCCAGCCTGGCAAAAGAGCAAGACTCTGTCTCAAAAAAAAAGGGAAAGAAAAAGAACATCTACACCAGAAGGTTGAGATGATGATATGTTTGTATTATGCTCTGCCATTTATTGCATGTACGAGTGTGTGCCACACACAGTGCACAAAACAACTTGAATAGTGTTTATTATCTAAGCACATGTAACAGCCATTTTAGCCAGGTGCAATGGCTCACACCTGTAATCTCAGCATTTTGGGAGGTTGAGGTGGGCGGATCGTTTGAGCTTAGGAGTTTGACCAGCCTGAGTAACATGGTGAAACCCAATCTTTACAAAAATACAAAAATTAGCCAGATGTGGTTGAGCATTCCTGTAGTCTTAGCTACTCAGGAGGCTGAGGTGAGAGGATCACTTCAATCTGGGAGGTTGAGGCTGCAGTGAGCTGTGACCACATTACTGGACTCCAGCCTGGGTGACAGAGTGACACCCTGTCTCAAAACAAATGGCATTTTATGCAAAACTTGGATATATGAGCAAGTTTATACATGTGAAAGTAGGAGATGAACTGAGTGAAGGGAGCCTGGATGTGTATATGAAGTGGAACATGAATGCCCACAGAGGTGAACTCATGTCTGCTCAGAGGAGGTGTCTTTGTGTAGTTGCACAAGGAATCAGGAGACTTGCAGAGTTTATGCCACAATGAATCATAGAATGCGGGTGCCTTGTCCATCATCCCAGAAATGTGTTTTCCATGTAGTGCCCTGCATGTCTGCTTTATAGCCAGAGAAGTACACATGGTGAATCCTGAATCTTCCTGATGAGTGGAGCCCAGGCTATCCTGAAAGGGATGCTAAACTGGAGTGAATCACAGTGTGTGCCCCTCCACCTTGCACATGTTATTACCAAGGTGATGAAGTGTTAATATAAAATTTTGAAGTACACCTAATGATTCAAAACATGTAGCCTAAGGGATGGAGGTGGAAAGAGGATGGGAAAATGGTATTGTTTTGCCACATTGGTGGTTGGTAATGGGATATGGCACCCAGAGTCCCAATGTGGTTTCTGAACTTCCAGTATCAGAATCATCAGATCACAGAA